TGTAAGTTTATATAAAATTACAATGTGTATAAACTATTATTTAAAAATTATTATTGTTTATGAATATTTTTTTTCTTCATGATATTCGAGATTTGGTTTATTCAGTAGACATTCTTTCTATGATGGAAGTTGGTGGTATTGGTCAAAAGTTATACCTTGCAGAACACAAACTTCGAATTTGCATCTTTTAATTAGTGCACCATTGACATTCAATTAAATTTTGTTTGACGGCACATATTATTTTTTTAATTACTTAAATAGCATATTGTAATTGTAAGTTTTATTTACTTATATAGCATTGTTTTTCTTTAAGTTGAGAATTCGATTTTCTGGTATACTGAAACTTGAATGTGGTTGCATGTTTTTTTTCTCTTTAAACTATTTAAAATTCAATTTTTCAACAATCGAATTTTGAATTATTATTTTTTTAATTTTTATTTATTTTGTTAAAAAAGAAAAACTAATATATATATATATATATATATATATATAATATTATAATGTTTTATTTAAAATTTATAGTTTTAAATTATAATTTTAAAAAGATTTATATATTTCTTAAATTAATAATATATTTAGATTTATTGTTGAAAGTAGTAAAATAGTATTTTTTTTAAAATATATTATTAAAAATAATATTTATATTTTATTTGTATGATTAAATTTTTTTAATTCTTTGATTTATTTGTTGTAATATTTTTTTTAGAAATTAATAATAAATTAGAAGGATAACAAAAATCATAAAAATTATATGTATATAAGATGAAATAATATTTTGATGTAAAATTATATTTTTGAAATGTATTTTTTTATTTTGGAATATATATATATATATATTATATATTAATTTAATTCTAAATTAATTTATTTTTAAGTTGATAATTATTATTTTAATTTATAAAAAAAATATATATAATTATAATATATATAATTTACTTAACATTAAAAATAGTTATATTTTTATTTATAATTATATATTTTTTTAAGGTTATAATTTTAAATATAATTTTTTAACTTTATAATTATAATATATATAATTTATAAATAATTATTTTTTTAATTTTAATTTGATATATATTTTTATTTGTAATTATTTAATGTATATTTGAAAAACAAATTGATTATTTAAAAAATTAATTGATTATAATCAATTATTTAAAAAAGTAACTCTTCTCGAGTAATTGAAAAACTAATGGATTAATTTTTGAAATAATTAAATAGTAAATATATATATATATATATATAATATTATAATGTTTTATTTAAAATTAATAGTTTTAATTATAATTTTAAAAAGATTTATATATTGATTAGATTAATAATATATTTAGATTTATTGTTAAAAGTATTAAAATAATATTTTTAAAATATATTATTAAATATTATATATATTTTATTTGTATGATTAATTTGTTTTAATTCTTTGATTTATTTGATATTATAATATTTTTTTAGAAATTAATAATAAATTAGGAGGATAATAAAAGTCTTAAAAATTATATATATACAAGATGAAATAATATTTTGATGTAAAATTATTTTTTTGAAATGTATTTTTTTGTTTTTTGTAATATTTTGGAATATATATATATATATATATATATATATATATATATATATATATATATATATATATATTATTTTAGAAATGAAATGAAGTTATATTTTGGAAGATATATATTATAATTTTAAATATAATTTTTTTAAGTTGGTAATTTTTATTTAATTTATGCAATATATATATAATTTAAATTTTATATGTAATTTTAATTTATTTAATATATATATATATATATATATATATATTTAGTGCATTTATATAATATATATAATTTATTTAACATTAAAAATAGTTATATTTTTATTAATTTTATAATTATAATTTATTTTAAGATTATAATTTTAAATATAATTTTGTTAACTTTATAATTATAATTTATATAATATATATAATTTATAAATATTTATTTCATTTAATTTTAATTAGATATATATTTTTATTTGTTATTATTTAATGCATATTTTAAAATTTAATCAATTATAATGGATTATAATCTATTATTTGATAAAGTAATCGATTGTTTGAAAAACTAATCCATTATAATCCAATAATTGAAAAACTAATCAATTAATTTTTGAAATAATTGATTAATTTTTCAAATATACATTAAATAAAATAAATATATATATATATATATATAATATTATAATATTTTATTTAAAATTTATAGTTTTAAAAAGATTTATATATTTATTAGATTAATAATATATTTAGATTTATTGTTGAAAGTAGTAAAATCATATTTTTAAAATATATTATTAAATATTATATTTATATTTTTTTGTATGATTAATTTTTTTTAATTTTTTGATTTATTTGATATTATAATATTTATTTATAAATTAATAATAAATTAGGAGGATAATAAAATCTTACAAATTATGTTTGTGTGTTGTAACATTTTCACAAATAAAGTTGTATTACTTGTTAAGATTTTCATAATTTGTTAAATTCATATTAATGTCATCAATTGTCTTTATAGCTTGGAATATTATAAGAAAACATGATTATCTCATTTTTATCACACTCACAACCCCACTCATAAGTTCCAAAAAGTCACACTCCTATTATAGATTTTAGCTTTCTTAAGTTATTATTATATGATTAAAGAATAATTTATAGTAAAAATATGTTTAGACTAAATGAAATATATATTTAAAATGTAAAAGAAAAAAAATTAAGATGTAAGTGAATAGAACTTTTATTGAATTGATGAAAGATAGTACAAAAGTTTAATATAATTAATGATGAGATATGGATCCTCTAATGCCAAGGTTGTGAGGACAATGATTTCTTGTGTGCCTTGGTGTTTTACAGTATAAGCACTTTCGTGGGTGTCATCCTTCCCTGATGTCCATCTCAGTCCTGATTCTAGTTGATTTGAGCTGACCTTTTTAACTCCTTCTCGTGGTTGGATTTGGCGAAACTTGTGGACCTTCATATGGTGGTCAATATTGTTCATGCCTTAGCTCCCCAAACATATGGTCATACACTTTCATGACGACATCCAACCTATAGTAGGGACTGATGTACGTGTTGAAGTCATGATGGACATGTTTGCAAGCTGCTAACACATGAGAACATGGTATATGAATTTTTTGAAACTTCCCACAATCACACCATCGTTCATCCAACCTAACAACAAATGTACTCGGAGGACGTATTTCTCTTGGGTTGACCATTTTCTCCACCCTGAATCTTGTCGTATTTCTATCAAATTCAACCACCCTGTGGGTATTTGATTTTGAATCACCATCTTGTAGGACCTTGGTGGCATTTTCAGAATAGACATGACCAACACTTATCATTGCAGTTACGTGTTTCCCTCTTTCTGTGAAGAAGGTGTTACATCTGGTATATGTGGCCAATACTATGGAGGAGATTGGTAGATTTATTGTTTTCTTCAAGACTGAGTTAATAGCTTCGGTCGGATTAGTTGTGAGGTAACCCCATCTTCTGCCTTCATCATATGCAAGTGTCCATTGATGTCTTGGAATTTGGTCATCCAAGTTGCTGCTTCCGGGTTCTCTTCCTTTATGATATTGTAGTAATAGTTACATCTTGGCTCAGTCATTGCATATGCTGTAAATATAATTATAAAGTAATACTCATTAAATATAACGAAGAATAGTGGAAGATCACACATAATTGAATAAAATTTTGGAATTTTAAGTACTTACCCATGTTTACAAGGTACTTCTTCAGAGTTGTATTTTTGAATCTTCGAGTGAAATTTTGTGCAATGTGTCGAATGCAAAACACATGCACACAATTTCCTTGAGTTCATCCACTTCCCGGTCTATTGAATGCTTCACTGATGGAGTTATGGAGATCCGAAATTAAGCACATGTTTTCTTGAGGTGTAACGTGTCTCCTAAGGTTTTTAAGGAAAAAAAACCAAGCTTCTGTAGTTTCACATTCAATAATAGCAAAACCAATAGGGAGTATGTTGTTCCTCCCATCTTGTGCTACAACCACTAGAGGAGTGCCCCTATATCTCCCGTAGAGAAATGTTCTGTCCACTTGCACTAACGGTTTGCAATAGGGAAATCTAGCAACACATGGTTTGAAGGTCCAAAATACTCTTTTGAAATATTTTTCGTTTTGCAGGACCTCCTCGCCATTAGTTATGACCTAAGTTTTGAGTTGGTATACGAAATCAGGAAGAAATGTTTGCATTGCTTGTAGTACCCGTGACAATTTGTTGAATGATTGTTCCCAATTTTTATACACATGTTCAATTGCTTGTTGTTTGGCCAACCAAGCCTTTCTATACGTTGTTGTGTAGCCCAGTGAAGTCTTGATGGAAGCAATGATTGTTGCAATTGGTGTTGATGGGTCAGATTTGACCATCTCACGAATGTGTTGGGAAATGATACGTGACCCCAACCTGTTATGATCTTGTGTAATGAGTTGTGTGGCACAGGTGTGAGACCCTTCGATTTTTCTTATTTCCCATACTTGATCTCTTGTTCGAAGGATGACTTGACACTTCCACAGACATTGATGGTGGACACATTGCACCCTCAACCTTGTTGTGTTGGAGTGTGTCGTTTTGTATGTGCAATGGTTTGTGATATGAAATGTGTTTAAAGCATCTATAACTTGTTCCTTTGTTTGGAACCTCATTCCCTAGGTTAATGTACTAGGTTCATGCTCGAATGTATCATGTTGAATATTAAAGTGGTCGTATGCATGAGGATATTGTTGGTTTACATGTTGGGAAAATTCTTCATAGGACTGGAAGTGTCGGGGTGGGTTGTATTAAAGAGATAAATGAGTTTGTTGTTGTATAGGAGGGATATCTATGTTTTCTTCTTCATCATATGCGTGTTGGCTAAGGATGTCATCCTCATCCTCACTAAATGGGTCTAATGACGACAAAGGTATGCCTAATGTTTCGTTTTCTTGTAGAGGAGGAGAGGAGAACTGTTGTGTGTCAACATATGTAGGAGATGAGAGAAGTTGTGAGGTCGATGGACTGATAGAGTTGGGTGTATGATTGTATGTTATTTTCCCATTCCCCTATATATGTGGCGTTAAGGTCAAATGACTGATGTGTGGATTGGGTTTGTAAGGGTTGTTGATGTTCATGAGAATGATTAAAATAATTGGGCTGGGAAGACGAAATACCTGTGTTGTAAGTTGTGCAAATTTCCAAGGATCTCAAAGTTGGGTTGGCCTCTGTGATGTCCATGGCTCCATCCAAGTCATTGTCATCTTCAATATTTGTTGTTGTGTAAGTCACATGTCTGCCACAAATTTGTGTTGGAAATCTAAAATGGAGGGCAGGAGGTGGATTGGTTGGATATCTCTTCGCCCGTTGCAATATTATCTCTATTAATTGCGAAAATGTGAAACCTCTATGAAGCTGAACCATGATATATGTGTCAGACTTAAACAAAACACCATTTTCTGGGTTAGGAATCATGTCACCATTATCATAGATGTATGCAAACATCTTTGGTTCCATTTGAGGAGGAATAAGATTCTAATGAGTAGTAGCAAAGAAAAGTTTTGAATAACTATGGTTTGAAATTTGTGGTAAGGTCCCTCTTTTATAGCCAAAAGTTAGGTGATCATGTGACCCGCACATTAACCAACGTGATCATGTGACCCACACCACACCTTATGTCATCATGTGACTTGGATATTTCCTTGTGTGATCATTTGACTTACACATAACTTTATGTCATCATGTTAATATAATTTTTTTAACACAATGATAAACATAAATAAGATTAATCGACTTAACATAAATAGTAATATTAGATGGATTGAAATATTCGTTACACATGACAAGAAGAGTGATAACATAAGGTTCATGGATTTTTCAGAAATCAAGGTACATTGATCATTAATCTAAGTTTATTGACTAATTGAAGTTATTAGTCAAATTATAATAAACTTCAGACGGGTTGTGCTTTGGTGGATTTTTGTAATAAATGCCATGATCTCAACATGAACCTCTGTAGCTTGTTCTGTTTCCATTAAAAACAATGCCTCGACATCGTCATCTACAAATATCTTACATGATCTATAATGTGCAGTGTTGACAGATATGAAAATTGGTAACCTGTATTGTAAGTCGACTTCATATTCATTTACTGTTGACATGTTGAAGTGGTTGAGAATAGTTTGCTTCTTTTCGACCATAGTCATTGTGTTTGTTATGGTCACCCAAGTCGTTTAAGAGCTAATGTATGTTTCAGAGTAGTTTTCTTCCGTTAAGATGGTTCCGTTGAAATACACCAACACTGTGAAAGTTGTAGATGTCATTGTTGGTTGCAGTACCTTGTCACTAAGTAGATTGGTCGAACAACCTATAAGTTGCTCTATTTATAGGAAAATTGTTCACTTGGGCCAACAACAATGATAATTCCACATACGAAATCTAATGGCTAAGAATGAATCTGTGGAGATGAACGTATATGATTTAGATCCACGCTTCACGAGGTCTAACCACCATGAATGACGCGTGAAGGCTTTAGTCCATGTGACAAAGTGCTCCAACTTTAATCTGAGGGTTGAAATTAAATATGTGGAGATGAATGCACATCATTTAAATCCACACTGCATGAGATCTAACAAGGTTTTATTAAAGCATGATCGTGTCATTATGGCTGAGTAATATGCCTTATATAGTGGATCTAAATCCTGTGCGTTTAATTTTTGTGTTTTCAATCACAGCTGTTAACTAAAAAAACGTACACTGCCCATTATGACACTGTAAATAATGGTATTGTGTCATATCATAACTCCCCAAAGTTGATGACTATTACGATACATTGACTCAGTCATTTTCTTAATTAATGCTCTCACATGCACCCTTCCCAAAGCTAATGACTATTGTGTCATTTTAAAATATTATAATGTTATATTAAACATATATATATATATATATATATATATATATATATATATAATATTATAATGTTTTATTTAAAATTTATAGTTTTAGATTATAGTTTTAAAAAAATTATATATTTATTAGATTAATAATATATTTAGATTTATTATTGAAAGTAGTAAAATAATATTTTTAAAATATTTTATTAAATATTTTATTTATATTTTATTTGTATGATTTTTTTTATTTTTTGATTTATTTGATATTGTAATATTTTTTTAGAAATTAATAATAAATTAGGAGGATAATAAAAATCTTAAAAATTATATGTATATAAGATGAAATAATGTTTTTATGTAAAATTATATTTTTGAAATGTTTTTTTTTGTTTTGTAATATTTTGGAAGATATATATGTGTTTTATATTTTAGAAATGAAAATAAGTTATAGATAGGAAAAATAATGTATTAATATTTTTGAAATCCTTTCTACATTAAAAAAAATTGTGAACAAAAAATATATGTAAAACTATAACTTTTTATTTAAAATTTGTGGAGTTTGAAATTATAGTTTTAAAAGAGTTATATGTTTATTAGATTAATTATAATATGTTTTAAATTTTAGTTTTAAAAAAATTGTATGTTTAGGAAATAAAAAATATATAAGTGTAATGTAATTTACTAATGTGAATTTAAATTCTTGTAAGAATTTAAGAATATGGAGTAGGAATAATTTATATCTCCTTTGGCACGACTATCCAATAAAGTTGATAGGTATTGTCTTAGTAGCTTGGTGCATGTGAGAGCATTGATTGAGCGAGTGAATGAGTCAATACATATTAATAGTTTATTGAATGTGTAAGTTATTAAGATAATAATTTATTATATTTGTAAGTTATTAAGATACGATTTTTTTGAATTTGTAGGTTTTTTATTCATCATTTGCAAAATTTATATTACAAACCCAACATAAGGTAGCTAAATAAGAACAGTTCAAATAGTAAAACTAAATGTTTGTTATGTAATCCTCATAATGGTGTCCAGTTCTACATCAGGGTCACCTTTTGTTCCTAGTTGGGTTCCTCCTTCCCTGGAGCGGTCTAGGTACTTCTTCATCTGAAGGTTGGGCTTCATGATGGTCCGTATCTTCCGACCTTTATATGCGTCGGAAGATGACACCGTTTCATTATGATATTGGACATTATATTTAGAATTATAACCTTAAAAAAATTATAAAAATAATAAAAATATAATTATTTTTATGTTAAATAAATTATATATATTATATAAATTATATATATATATATATATATTTTTTTTTCATAAATTAAAATAATAATTATCAACTTAAAAAAATTATATTGAATATATATGTATATATATATATATATATATATATATATTCCAAAATATTACAAAACACAAGAAAAAAATACATTTCAAAAATATAACTTTACATCAAAATATTATTTCATTTTATATAGATTAATTTTTTAAGATTTTTTATTATCTTCGTAATTTATTATTAATTTCTAAAAAATATTACAATATCAAATAAATCAAAAAATTAAAAAAAGTTAACCATACAAATAAAATATAAATATAATATTTAATAATACATTTTAAAAGTATTATTTTACTACTTTCAACGATAAATCTAAATATATTATTAATTTAAAAAATATATAAATCTTTTTAAAATTATAATTTTAAATTTTAAATTTTAAATTTTAAATAAAATATTATAATATTATATATATATATATATATATATATATTAGTTTTTCTTTCTTAATAAAATAAATAAAAATTAAAAAAAATCAATTCATAATTTCGTTACCAGAAAACCAAATTTTAAATGGTTTGAAAAAAAAAATAATATACAACTATGTTTAGGCTACCTATGTTAAGGATCGAATTCTCAACTTAAACTGTGTTATATAAGTAAATAAAACCAAACAATTTGAGTAATTAAAAAGCGAATCTTAAGAAAAAAATTTGACATTCAGTAACACATGCTTCAAAAACATCGATGGTGTTTGTTGTGGCTATGGACAGCTCAACAACAGAGAAAGTCCACTGCCTCGAAGATTGGAGAAACTGTCGTATGTCTAACATTATCACAGCTTGATTGAGGCAGGAGGTTCTTAGTTCAAGTACTTGGACTGAGGGTCCTAGCTATGTAGGAGTACTGCATCTATGACCCTAGCTAATAAGCCATAAACTGTAAATAAAATAAGTGTTTTTGTCTACACTTGTATATATTAAATTAATAGAAGGAAAAGTAAAATATATAAAATGTGAAATGCTTGATATATTAAAAATTTTAAAAACATATTTTCTTTTATTTGGCTTATAATATATGTTCTCTATTCACTCTTACTAAAACCCGCTAAAAAAAATGGAAAATAATAATGTAAGGATATAAAATATAAGACTACTCTTATAATGTGCTTGTCAGAATTATCATATTTGGAGTTTATTTTATTTTAGTATTTAGAAGTTCTCTTATAGTTTTATTTGAAAGACATCTCCAGAACAGAAAATAATATGTATACATTATTTTCAACTTCGATTCTTAGGTAAAGTAACATTTTTGAATTTTTTTTAAAATTTAAGTAATATGATGCAATCAAAAAAAGATATTTAGTTAACCTATATAGTTATTATTCTTGAAAAATTATTAAATATTTTTACTAAGGTTTATTTATTTTAATAATAAATAAAAATTAAATACTTATTCTTCATTTTTATTTTTTTATTAATTTAATAATATAAAATAATAATTCATCTTAAATCTTTAATTTTTATTATTAAAATAAGTGAATATGTTCTTGAGGTGAAATTTATTAATGATTATATTTTAATATATAAAATATTTGGTTAAAATGCTACTCTTTTTTTAATCATTGCAAACTTTTAGAAATTTTAATATTGTATTTTGCAATATATGTATAGAAAAGTCTAGTTATCAGATATTTCTTTATTATTAGATGTGTTCTCAATTTTAGGAAATAAAATATGCGTTGATAAGTAAACTAGTTATACTTTTAAGCATAGATATAGCTTTGTTTGATAGTGAATTTTTTAAAATTGTATTAATTATATATATATATATATATATATATTATTTTTTTAAAAATATAGAAAATGTTTATTTGAATAGAAATTTGTTTAATTTATCATGAGTTTTGATTTACTCTCATAAATTTTATATTTAACTTTATGTTATGATATTTATAATAAATGACTCTAGAGTGTTAATTTCACACCTTATAGTTAAATAATTGATATCTCTTTCCTTCACGCCGTTATTAAAAGAAATTTGTTTTAGGCTAACGTGATTTGATGTCAAAATTTCTCAAGTTGATGAAAATTGAAAGATTCAAATTGTGGCAGTGTCATTCAAAATATATTAATAAAATTATTGAATACAATAAATCGTTGACCCCGTTAAGCAGGATAAAATGTCAAAAGCAGGAGAAAGTAGGCATGTGCAGGAATTAGAGAACTTTGAATTTCAGGGCATGTTGGGGGAAGCATATGGCATTGACATGAACAAGTGTACTATATATACCAAGACAGCAAGCACTTACCTGGATTAAGCAGATTCACTACAATAATGTTACTTGAAATTAGGGGTGGCAACATGCCACATTACCCTACGCAGATCTATTATGGCTTAGTGTACATTAAATTAGGTTGGGTTAGATTTTTAAAAAATAAATTAGATAATAAGAAAAGTAAGATTGAATAATTCAAATTTCTTTTAAACTTAATAGACCGACATATTTGAATAAATTATAAATTTTAAAACATTATTATCACACTGATTTTAAAATTATTAAAATTTATATCCATTTGTTTATTAATATTAAACACATTGACTTTCATATAAATTTGTGCTAATAAACTTATTAAAAAAATTATTTAAAAGTTTTATCGTAAAACAACCTTTTAAATTAGTTTACATGACAGTCAATTTATATTTTAAAAATATGTTATTATTATTTAAACAATTTTATTTTTTTTACGAGAACTGTATTGAAAATACTTAAAGATGGTATAATTATGCATGATTATGGGGCTATATGTGTAGGTTCATAGCAAAAGAATGTATTTGTGAAACGCAATATAGATTCAAAGATGTATTTGTGCATAAAATAAATGTATTATTTATATAACATTATCGACCTTAAATATATGGTCAACTTTTTATTAAGAAAAATAGTCATATGGTCAACTATATTTTATCATCTTTATTCATG